TTTTTCAAGGCAGCTTTGTGATGTATGGTTGACTAGTTTCTAATTTGATTTTTAAAAGTAAAAATTGGTTGTGTCATAGTGACAGGCTCATGGGTGTTTTTTAAATATTTTCTTTATGCTTATAAGACTACATTTTAAGCTAAATATGTTTTGTTTTGTTTTCACCTCTTCTTTAAAGTCTAACATTTTTGAGACAGGATCTCACTATATAGTCCTCACTGACCTGACCTGAAACTCACTATGTAGACTATGCAGTCATAAAACTCAGAGAACCTGCCTCCACCCTCTGAGTACTGGTCACTAAAGTCTTTATTCAATAGAAAAAAGTAGGTGATTATATTCAAAGTACATTATATACATATATAAAATGTTATAATATAACCAACTATTTTACATATTACAAACATAATTTCTTTAAAAGAAAAGAAGAAAAGTGACACTTGTCTCCTTTGTAATATTATCTCAGAGTATCCATCATTGATAGAAAAATTAAATTCTAAAACAATAATAAAAATAATCTTGTATGTTTTTTGTAATTCAAGCTGCCAGTCTTAAGTAGCAAATTCTAAAATGTTATAATGGCCATTTCAGGATAGCAGCAATAAAACAAAATTTTAAGTGGTAATACAGTAGGAAAAAAATCTTTTAGTACTTCCAAATTCACAACTAACACACAAAGGGGCAATATGACATTGTCCCTCTCAAAACAAGCCATAAATATAAAAATTTTATAATAATGAATACTTCTCAAAGTAATGGGTTGTTTTAAATACTAACCTGAGAATCTGATGACACTGTGTATATCAGTTATTTTGAATCTCTAACTCTCAACTGCCTCTTCAAATCCTCCCTTTTACACAGTGAGATTGCTCACTATGGGCCAGGATGGCTTCCAAGTTACACTTCTCTCAGGCTTTCAGAATGCCGAGATGACAAGAGTACCCCATCATGCCAGACTCCGGGTCTCATTCCTGATGTACTTCCAGCTTTCTTTACATCTAGCTTTTGTTCTTCTGAAATATGGTCCCAAATGAGCTTTGTTCCCCTCCCCACACCATTTGTCTGTTTGTTTGTTATTTTTGTTTTGTTTTGGTTTGGTTTGGTTTTTCGAGACAGGGTTTCTCTGTGTAGCCCTGGCTGTCCTGGAACTCACTCTGTAGACCAGGCTGGCTTTGAACTCAGAAATCTCCCTGCCTCTGCCTCCCCGGCTTTGTTTGTTTGTTTGTTGTATGTGTGTGGATGGGACAACTTCTGGGAGTCAGCTCTCTCCTTGCATATGAGATCTGGATCAGGTTTGGCTGCAAGTGCCTTACTTTTACAAGTGCTTCTGACTCAAAACATTGTCATCAATAAAAGAAGTACAGGCCTCTAGGACAAAATTAAAAGTTTAATTTAAAAGGACTGGAGAGATGGCTCGGCAGTTAGAGGACTCACTGCTCTCCAAGAGGACCAAGGTTTGGTTCCCAGCACTCACAAATGGCTGCTCACTAGACTCTAATTCCAGTCCCAGGGGAGTCAATGCTCTTTTCTGGCCTCTGTGAGCACCAGGCACACACATGGTATATGTGGTATGTATATGCAGTCAAACACTCAAAGTAAAAAAAAAAAAAAAACAAGTAAGTAAAACTTTTTTGCAAGATTGTATAAAACTATCAGCCATGACAACTCTACTTACTAGTAATTTATAATAAAAATAAATGGTTTCCCATCATGAGCCTTTTCACCTGCAATGCTGGGGATGGAATTTGGAGTATGCGAGGAAAGTAATCTGTAACTGAAGCGCCCGTCTTCACATAGATTACTAGAGAATATTTACAAGTACAAGTCCTTTCTGAACAACAGCTGGGCTTTACCTAAAAATATAAACTAGAGTACTATGGTTCAAAAATAGGTAGCATTTCAATGAACATTACCTGATTTTCCTGTTCTCATTTTATTTAGAAATAAAGCATAGCCCCCCCCCCTTTTTTTTAGCTCAATTGTAATTAGATCAAAAAAAAAAAGTTTTACCAGATGTACCCCTAAGGAATCATAGACATAAATGCCAAATTATTATTTAAAATGAATTATTCCCTTTTTTGTTGTTAAATCGAAGTTTAGGTGGTACTGTATATTAGTGGACTGTATAGGACAAACTGAAAAACGCCTCACAGAGCTAGGCATGATGGCACTCAGCTTTAATCTACACAAGGAGACTTAGCTTCACAAATAACCCTTGTTGTACTTCGTGCGAATAGGAAGAATAAGTATTTTTAGTGAGGAATGCCTCATCATTAATTACATGATGTTTATATTTGATGTTCTCTATCGCACAACTAAAAGGAGAACGGAATCTGAGAGCCAAAATTTCGGAACTAACCTCATAGACTGTTAGAAAGCAAAATTTCGGAACTAACCTCATAGACTGTTAGAAAGCAAAATTTCGGAACTAACCTCATAGACTGTTAGAAAGCATCTCTGGTTTTTTTTTTCAAATTTAAGATTTATTATACTGCTTTACGTGTATGAGTGTTTTACCAGCATGTATGTATGTGCACCATATGCATGCCCGATGCCCTTGGATGCCCTTGGAGGTCAGGAGAGGGCATCAGATCCCCTGGGACTGGAGTTATAGTTTTGAGTCACCACATGGTGCTAGGAACCAAACCTGGGTCCTCTGCTGGAACAGCAAGTGTTCTTAATTGCTGAGCCATATCTCCAGCCCATATATCTAAAAAAAAAAAATGTCAAACCAAAATACATATCTGTCAAATCTGAATTTAAAACCTAGTTGTTAATTTTTCTAAATATGTTTCAATTTTACATTCACTGTAAAAATTAAAAGTTGCAAGAACAACACAAAAATTTTCTTTCTCTCTCTCTCTTTCTTTCTCTTTCCTTTCTCTCTTTCTCTCTTTCTTTCTTGAGAAAGGGTCTCACTATGTAGCTCTGGCTGGCCTGGAACTCACTATGTAGACCAAACTGGCTTCCAACTCAGAGAGATTAAACCATGTCTGCCTCCTGAATCCTGGAACTCACTATGTAGACCAGACTGGCTTCCAACTCACAGAGATTGAACCATCTCTGCCTCCTGAATGCTGGGACCAAGGATGTGAGCCACCATTGCCAAGCTAGTTGATAAATCTTAACTATACCTACCCTGATGTGAAGACAATCAATTGCTCTATATTTTATCAAAACAACTCCCAAAAAGAAAAGGTATATTTTATTTTCTGAGTCATGCTTAGCTAATTGTATCCACTGACTAGTTAGCCTGATATCACAAGTAATCAATACATGTCAATATTTTCACGTAAAAAGCCCAAATAGGGAAAATACTTAATTTAGGGTAAAGACCTTCAAAAGTTTTAGGTAGATGATTAACAAAACCTTAAATTTCACATTTAGTTTCCCAGGCTTGACAACAGAGAAGCTATGTAAAAATCAGAGAGCTGGAAATAATCAGATATCTTATAAAGTAAGAGCAGTACAAATAGAATGTAAAATTTTAAAACATGGAAAATACAGTCTGGAAATACACAAATTAATAATAATTGTGAAGTAAAAACTTCACAGTCTAGACACATTTCACTGTTAAGAAAATATGAGAAAAATATGGAACATAGAAAGGGGAAAAATGGTAGAAACTGAGTAGAAAGAAATTTCACAGAATAAAGGAAATGGTTTTTTGTATCCCTTTGACAATTATGTCCTGAACCTATTTGAAGGCTTTCTGTGTTGCTAGTTTTAGTTTTGGGTTTTTTGTTTTGTTTTGTTTTATTTTTTGTTTTTTTTTTTTTTTCGGTTTTTTTGAGAGAGGGTTTTTCTGTGTAGTCCTGTCTGTCCTGGAACTCACTCTGTAGACCAGGCTGGCCTCGAACTCAGAAATCCGCCTGCCTCTGCCTCCCAAGTGCTGGGATTAAAGGCGTGTGCCACCACCGCCCGGCAGGGGTCCTTTCAAATTGGTAAGATAAGAAATTCAGGGACTTGCTAGAACATAATAACAAGACAATCCCCCAAATATATGAAAATGTACATTACTGATCTTGTGGATGAAGAGAACTTTCAAACTAGAGAACAGGGTGACTGCTGGGCAAGCAGACCATTATGTAACACCTATTTCATGTTACTCTATCAATTACTTTAGAACCGCTGACTACTTTTTCCTTTTTAAAGACAAGCATTGTCCAGGCTGGCTTCCTTTCTCAAGACCTCCATGTTTTCCCTCAAGAGACAACTCCTAAATTCTAGATTTCCAGGTATATGGTAAATGCTGTTGTGGGGAATGGAAAATTGGGGGAAATAGTGTCAGCGTTCTGAAGATCTGCCTTCTCTACCTAAGCAGTGATCCAGACCGACAAGACATCTCCAAGCTCCTCAGAAACTACACACCCCACTGCCACAAACATTGAGGACCAGGAGTGGAAGCAATGCCATCTTGCATCTGACGTTGCCCCAATTATAAACGTAATCATATTGGTTATCTCAGAGTATCCTCAAACTACATTAAGAGGTAGATAAGGGTGATGCCTAACTTGTCCAGCATCCATGGGACACACGACCCGGTTAAAGGACAAGCGTACCCTTTACATTTCCAACAAGAATTACAAAAGCAAGGGCAAACTCCTCTATATCCTCAGGGAAAAGCACCCTAGGGGGACGTCATCAGCTAGATAATCCCAAACTTAACCCCTCCTTGTAGTTTCACCAACTCAATGATTCCAAGAGAGTAGGTGCGGGGCTGTGGAGAGGCCACCCACGTTGGGCCTGAAAACCAACAACTCCCTCACTATGTGCACTGACAGCACCTGAAGTGGAAGGAGCAAGGATGCTCAGGGGACAACCTCGGGGTAACGACCCCACAGGCCCTGTCCAGCAGCTCGACGTACCTGCGGAGCCGATTTCCATTCATGGAGCTGGGGGGAGTGCTTCACGAGAGAAAGGTGCCACCACAGAGGCGAGGAGCGGACGCCCTCTGAAAGCTCCGGGCACGAGAGGCACTGTCGGGAGACAGCCTGCACCTAGGTAAGAGCGGCGACAGTCCTGAGTGAGGACGCTGAAGCCGGGTCCGGAACTTGCGCCGCCTACAGCAGCTGACGCCTGCAGCTTCCCGACCCGCCAGCCGCCCCGCCGCCGTCGCTGCCGCCGCTCGCTTTTCCCGGTCGCCCCCGGAAGCCCGCCCGCGTCAGTTCCGCTCTCCCGATCCCGCCCCGCGCTCTCTCCGGGTCTGCAGCTCGCCAGATCTCTGCGGGAGCAACGTCTGGGGATCTGTGGGCAGGAGAGCCGGTGCCTGGCTGGGGCGGAGCCGCGGATGGGCGGCTGCTCTGTACCCGCTGTGCCTGACGGTGACAATCCCGAGCGAGAGGCCAGCTTTCCCCGTGCCAGCCACCCGGGTGGGGACCGCTGCTCGAGGCGATGTCGCTGCCAGCCCGCGGAGCTTACCTGAGGTACAGCCTACCTGAGGGTGGCTGGTGACCAGGCAAGGACATCCTGGCTCCCAGCTCCGTCTGCCACACCAGCCTGGAGCACGTGCACTAGGCTATGACCACAAGTTCAGTTTAGTTTTTAAACAGATGAATAAGAAACGGGACGTTACGTGAATACCAGGTGGAATTATTTTTATGTTTAAACAGTCTCCTAATACCCCTGAGGAACCTAAACTACTTTCTGGTACTACTACACTGGCTAAGGGGCCCTAACATTTCTCTTCCTTGAGACTCAAGACTTTTACAGCTAAATTGGCCAGCCTCCAGTTTTTCCGATACAGTCCGGTGCTTTTCTGCTGACTTGGAACCTTTGGGAGACTAGATCTAGCTCACTATCAGGCAAACAGTCCATCTTTTAAAAATACTTGGCTTCGTCAAACCAGATACTACTACATGCAGGCTTAGCAATGATTCATTATTTTTTCCCCGTGTCCCAATGAGCCAGTAATGTTTTTGGGTTTTTTGTTTGTTTGGTTGGTTGGTTTGGTTTGGTTTGGTTTGGTTTTGATTTTTCAAGACAGGGTTTCTCTGTGTAGTTCTATCTGTCCTGGAACTCACTCTGTAGACCAGGCTGGCCTCGAATTCAGAAATCCACCTGCCTCTGCCTCCCAAGTGCTGAGACTGAAGGCGTGCACCACCACTGCCCGGCCGCCAGTAATGTCTTGACATATCTTTCTTTTTAAGAGAAAGTTGAGAAAAATTTTATTTTCACTATCTCTTCCCTCGCCGTTACGGGTTTTTGGATTAGTCACTTTATCTTTGGACTTTAGTTTCCTCATCAGAAGAACTGAAAGACCAACATGTACAATGCACAGGGGAAAAAAAACCCTCCCGAATGTTAGTAACAAAAATATTTATTATAGTTACAATTTTGAAGCACTTAATAAATGTGCTGACTATATAATAAATGCTTAATAAACGGGACTCCAAGCGACATCTGACACACCAATTCTGCCTCACTTTCTTCCTGTTGACTGAAAATTCTCTTACCACTTCTAAAATACCAAATCACCAGATGAATTAGTACAGCTTAAAAGCCATGTTCAAGCTCTGATTATATACAATCCATATCCTGATCTAAGCCCTAAGAATTAAATCTCAAACTTGTGCAAGGACCTATCATGCCCCCAATCTCAATTCTGGAACAAGTTCTTTGAATGAATGCAAGCTTAACTAGCTTCCAGAAAACATGGTGTGGTGACAGGCTGCATGGTTTCGTTTGTTTTAGAATGTGTGTGGTGGTGTCTGGTGTCCACAGAGGCCAGAAGAGGGTGGTAGACCCCTGGGACTGGAGTTAAGACAGTTGTGAGCAATCGCGGGTGCTGGTCATCACTTAGGTTCTCTGGAAGAGCAACCAGTGCTCTCCACTGATCCATCTTTTCGGAGGTGCTGTCTTTTTTTTTAACACTGTAGAAAGATTTGGGGCCTTAGAGTCAATAAAATCTAACAAATATCTATGATGGGTTCCTATCTACGTCTGCTATTCAGAACCACACCATTTTAGAGTAAGCCCACATGAAAAGCTTATGAATTAAAATTTAAAATTGGGAGGCAAAAAGGTCTAGGAGATTCTTGCCAGTGAAAAGTTGTATGAGGCTTTCCCCTGACCAAATACTGTTTCGGGGTAACTGATTTCCAAATGAATCTAATCTTCGGGACATAAAGTTTTGTGTATCTTGTTAACTGCCACACCTTCAGTACCTAGAGCAAAGCTTGTTGCTGTCATATAAGAGCACATTGAGTAATTATTTGTTGGATGGATGGATGGATGGATGGATGGATGGATGGATGGATTTCAAGGATAGGTCTCAGGAAGTAGGATAAAACTCTGGCCTTATCCCTGATGGCATTGATTGTTCCCAGAAGGAAGAACTATAAAACAATACAAAGCCTCAGGTGCAGAGGAATCAGTGCACACTGAGCACCCCAGCAGCCACCTCAGCCAGACAATGCAAATTTTCTTTAAATACTATTAAAAAGCATCAACTAGAAAAGTTAGAAAGGCAATAAATTTAACTTTAAATTAATAAATTGGACATAAAAATGGATTTTTTTCCCTACTCAAAATGAAAAGACAAGCCATGGATTAGGAATATTTACTTTATACACACACACACACAAATCTCCAATAAAGAGCTTATTTCTTGAATGTTATATGCTTTTATAGCTCATTAAGACAAACAACCAGCCGGGCAGTGGTGGCGCACGCCTTTAATCCCAGCACTTGGGAGGCAGAGGCAGGTAGATTTCTGAGTTCGAGGCCAGCCTGGTCTACAGAGTGAGTTCCAGGACAGATAGGACTACACAGAGAAACCCTGTCTCGAAAAAAGGAAAAAAAAAAAAAGACAAAGAACCAAATTTTAAAATGAGCAAATTGTATGAGCAACTTAATAAAAATATCAGGATAGCAAATAGGTACATGGATACATGACAGTCACCAGAGCAAAGCACAATAAAATACCAAATACTCAGTTCATTAAGAATAGAATGCTAAACTTTCTACTCTAACATGTGGTAAGACCTTGAGGCCTACAAGTGAGACTCGGGGATTTAAGAGTGCTCACTTTCTTCCCAATTGCTGCTAGTATTCTACGGCCCTTCCTGCGTCTGTAATCTACTTCCTGTGTTAGGTAAGACACATCACTAAAAAATGACAGCCCCCACCAGTTGTTTCTGGAATGACTTTGTGCTTGGATTACTTGCAACACAATATAAAACATGGGCTGTAAGAATACACGGAGGCAACTGAAGGCTCGATAATACTCACCATAAGCCAAGGTATCCACCCAACAGTCCTTACCTGCTTCTTTCTTGTTAGACATAATTAACCTTCCTAAGTCCTTATGATTCAAAGGATAAGTCCCATTAATTTAAGTCTTATAAAGGATGACTTTGTTTTTTCTCTTTTTCTTTCTTTCTTGTTTTTTTGTTTTGTTTTTGTTTTTGGAGACAGGGTTTCTCTGTGTATCTCTGGCTGTCCTGGAACTCACTCTGTAGACCAGAGTGGTCTATGAACTCAGAAATCTGCCTGCCTCTGCCACCTGAGTGCTGGGGTTAAAGGCGTGCGCCACCACTGCCCAGCGACTTTGTTTTTTCAATGAGACATGAAACTTGAATTGCTAGGGCATCCAGAGGAAGATGTCTTTGTTTTAGAATGAAACACTATAGGGGGAAAGTCCTTCTAACTTCTGACATGGCTGCTTTGAAGGATTGCTTCATTTATGTTCTCTGCATATCTTCCCAAGTGTGTAAGTCTTCCTCAGCCTATAGCCAAAACAATGTCTGGGAAATGACACAATTTAGTATTCTAACGCATCATTACTGAAGTGAAATTGACAGCAGCGTGGTAAAGCATGGCCGAGACTTAGAACTTCTCAGTACTATCTTTCACCATAACGTTAACCTCTAAACCCTAACTGACATACATTCTAGAGTCTAAGGCAAGAGATGGCCACAACATCCTTCCTTACTTTGCCTCATGGTATATCATGTGCTACACTGTATTTTTATTAATAAGGCAAGAGGGAAGATTGTTCTACCAGTACTTGTTGTGGATGGGCCTGGTGCTGTTTGCATTTTTGATGTGAGTTCCCTTTCCTGGGAGGGGCTACAGAAAAGGAGTGAGTCATGTACTCAAGTGACTTCTTGTGAACCAATCCCCTAATAAATAAAGGAGCCAATCATAGAGGGGCTTCTGGGTTGGAGAGGGAAAGAGAGGGTCCTTTTTGGACAGGGACAGCTCTAGGACAAGATGTAGCTACTAGTGTCTCCCGGTTTCTATGGCAGATCTGCCAAGATTTGCCACCAGAGGGACTTAAACTTAATATAGATACAAGATTAGGATTCTAGCTGTTGTGCCCAGAGATTGAGTTACCATTGTTTCTGAACTAAGTTTATGTGGTATTTTCCTTCCCGCGGTGGTTCTACTGGGTTCCAGAAAGAAGGGTACAGCGGCAAAGTGTGAGTTTGCCAGATGTGCACCACAAAGGCCGTAGGGGTTTTGAAGCATGGGGATGGCATGGTAGCAACCCGCCAGTGGGAACTTAGTTGGGTAGAGAGATTTTGGACCTCTGAGTCAGAGAGTCTCCATGAGATAAGAACAGGCCAGCCATTGCTGCCAGTGCATAGGCAGCCAGCCTGTTGGGGCAGAGAGTAGCAGGGTTAAGCATGAGAACCTGGCGTCCATTTTTAATATTTCCCACAACAAGTAAAAATGCTATCTAAACATGGGCGGTGGTGGCGCATGCCTTTAATCCCAGCACTTGGGAGGCAGAGGCAGGTAGATTTCTGAGTTCGAGGCCAGCCTGGTCTACAGAGTGAGTTCCAGGACAGATAGGACTACACAGAGAAACCCTGTCTCGAAAAAAACAAAACAAAACAAAAAAACCACATAAACAATCAAACTTTGGGGCTCCAGGACCTGACAGTTAAGTCATGTTAGGTGTCTGTACTGGCTGGTTTTCTGCAGCAATAGAAACCCTAAGACAAATTGGTACCAGCATAGTAGGGTATTCCTATGACAACCTGACCATGTTTTGAGAAGGACTGTGGAAGGATTTTGGAACTTGAGGCTAAAAGAGCCATTAGGTGTTAAGAGCTCTGTGGGATGTTCTCTAGGAGCTTGGAAGATAATGTTGAGAACAGTGCAAACGATGGAGGCCTGGCTTGTGAAATTTCAGAGGGAAGATTAAAGACTCTTATCAGGGCCGTTGCTGTTTTGATTGTGAAGATTCTGTGGTTTTGGTTAGCAGGGGCTAAAGAATCAGCTATGATTAAAAAGATACCAGAACTACTAGAGGGAAACCTTTGCAGGACTAGGACGATTGATGCTGGTATGTGAAGCTAAGACAGCAGTGATTAAGAAGAGACCAGCATCACTGAGGTGACATCTTCTGGAAAGTGTTTTCTGAGAGCACAAAGAGACTGTTTCAAAGATAGCCAAAGTTGTACCTTCTGCTGCGGCTGGACTTTGTAATTTGTAAGAGTCACCCGGATGGTACTTGTTTTGAAGGCATGAAGGAGAGTCATGAAGAGCAGCTGAGGCTTGGCACTGTGAGAGGCCATGGAAGGGCACTGGTGAAGGTGCAGCCTCAGTTGCAATTGATGGCCCAGGACTTTAGGGGTCAGGCAAAGGAATTGAGCCTTGGCACCATGAAGAGAGTCTGTGAGAGGCTACTGGTAAAGCCTACTTGGCAGTGGAAGACAGCAGTGTTTTGGAGATGACAGTACCATGAGATGACCACTAAGAACAGCAGCAGCAGTGGAGTACAGGCAGCTGGAGCCTAGAAGACAAGCTCTGTGCTACAAAGGGTAGAGCTGGAGAAGTGACCCAAGCTCTTGGAGGAGCCCAGAAGATCATGAGTTTGATTTGAGTTCGATTTTGCTTTTGATTGTGACTGTGCCCTAGTATTTTTCCCCTCTTGAATTAAGTATATTATTGGAGCCCACAGTTAAGAGACTTTGAAGTGTAAAAAGACTTTGAATTTTAAAAGACATTGTATCTTTTAAAGGGATTAAAATTTTAATATGTAAAGACTGTGGGACTTTGTTTGTTTGTTTTTTCAAGACAGGGTTTCTCTGTGTAGCCCTGGCTGTCCTGGAACTCACTCTGTAGACCAGGCTGGCCTCGAACTCAGAAATCTACCTGCCTCTGCCTCCCAAGTGCTGGGATTAAAGGCGTGCGCCACCACTGCCCGGCTTTGGGACTTTTAGTTATTTAGATTTGCGGATGAATAAGAAAGTAAGGGTTAAGGCTTAACAGTGATGTGTGTTTCAAGTTGACAAGGGGGTCAATTGTACTGGCTGGTTTTGTGTGTTAACTTGACACAAGCTGGAGTTTTTACAGAGAAAGGAACCTCCCTTGAGGAAATGCCTCCATGAGATCCAGCTATAAGGCATTTTCTCAATTAGTTATCAAAAGTGAGAGGGCCCATTGTGGGTAGTGCCATCCCTGGGTTGGTAGTCCTGGGTTTTATAAGAAAGCAGGCAGAGCAAGCCAGGGAAAGAAAGCCAGTAACATCCCTCCCATAGCCTCTGCATCAGCTCCTGCTTCCTTACCTGCTTGAGTTGCAGTCCTGACTTCCTCTGGTGAGTTCAATGTGGAAGTGTAAGCTGAATAAACCCTTTCCTCCCCAACTTGCTTCTTGGTCATATTTTCTGCAGGAATAGGAACCCTGACTAAGACAGTGTCTTTGGGAAGCAACCAACTGGCTGGGAGGTGGTGGCGCACGCCTTTAATCCCAGCACTTGGGAGGCAGAGGCAGGTAGATTTCTGAGTTCGAGGCCAGCCTGGTCTACAGAGTGAGTTCCAGGACAGCCAGGGCTACACAGAGAAACCCTGTCTCGAAAAAACAAAACAGAGAGAGAGAGAGAGAGAGAGAGAGAGAGAGAGAGAGAGAGAGAGAGAGAGAGAGAGAGAGAGAAGTAACCAACTGCTAAGTCTTTCAAAATACAAAAACAAAATAACAACAAGACCTTCTATGTCACGGGGTGGTGGTGGTGCATACCTTTAATCCCAGTGCAGAGTTTGAGGCTAATATAGTCTACAAAGAGAGTCCAGGACAGTTAGGGATCTGGTACACAGAGAAACCCTATCTTGAAAAACCAAAATAAAATAAACTTATCTTGTTTCAACCAGGAATATGATGTTCAACCATCTTCCATTATGCTTTGCAGCTGGAAGGATCCTGGTGTCTAGTGGCCACATCCCAGAGGAATTTGACAGGTAGTAACCAAAGGCTTAGTGTTATAATTTGCAAAGTCATAACACTTGGCCTCCAGAGGACTGCTAGGCCTATTATATGTACACTGTCTACCAGTGATAATTCCTCTGTGGGCTCTCTGCCAGAATCCTTCTCTGAACCATCTTCCCCAGGGTTGAGAAACCACTGTTCTAGTAGTACTAGGGAAGATGCCTTTCATGCTGAACAATTATGCCACCAGCTTAAGGTACAAACCCAAGAAAATTCTGAAGTTGGAGGTGAAAGTAACTGAAAAGAGAATTTGCTGGTACCAAGAGATCTTTTCCTACTCTGCTTACCTGAAGATGGAGGAACATTACATTTTGGCTTAAAGGTCAGGATTATAGACTCCATCCTGTGCATTTTTGGTTGGTTGGTTGGTTTTGTTTGTTTGTTTTGAGATAGGGTCTTACTATGTTGCTCTGACTGACCTAGAACTCACCATATGCATGAGGCTGGCTTTGAATCAGAGATCACCAGTCTCTACCTCCCAAATGCTGGGGTTAAAGGTGTGTACCACCAAAGCTGTCTCAGAATCACTTCTTGATTTGCCCCCTCCATACTCATGATCTCCAGCTCATTTCACTCATCCTCAAATACATCTCTCTTGGAATCTGCTGTTGTCTTCAGATGACAGAATAGAATGTAGTTTCTCTTCCTAGGGGATCACAGTCCCTGGAGAAGATAAGTTTTAGCAGTAAGTACAGCAAGCTAGGTTGTCTGGTGTACCAGCACACAATGCATAAAACTTGTTAGGGACAAAATCAGTACTTTTTCTCCTAAGAACAAGAGAAATTTGAAAGTGGTGGTGTTATCTGATGGGCAATTTGGAAGTCCTAAATTCTTTTTCTGTTCTATTTTTTCTCCACTTTCTTTAAACCAGTCCAAAATAAGTTACCAGTTTACCTATTGGTGAGTTGTCTTTCACCTAGCTTCTGCCTCCTCCCCATCCACAAGGCTGGCTCTACCGTGTATTTCTTTTTGTAAGTGGTTTCCCTTGTACCCAAGGCCTTAGCTACCTTTTCCCCTGTGTGAATCCAGTACTTCTACCAGTAGTTTCCTATCTTGCCTAAGCACCAAGACTGTTTATTGGGAACTTTAACTGTATTCCCCACTGGAATCTCAAGATTTTTAAGGCTGGCAGGTTAGTGTAGGCCTCTTAATTCCAGTACATGGGAGGTAGAGCTCAGAAGATTATGAATTTGAGGGTCACCAGGGATAGGCAACAGAACCCTAAACCTTGTATGTGAGGATAATTATCCTTCATCAGAAGATGTACTGCGTGCCTTCTGCAGTTTCCCTGATCCCATCGTGGTAAGAATGTTTCAGTACACTCATGTTCAAGTAGAGACGTAAATGCTACATCTACTACTGTCCCTCTCCCATCAGTCATGATGTCCTATTAATGCTCTATCCTGCTTCTCAGATGTTTCTTTTCCGCTCCGTCCTCACTGCTACAGCTTCAGCTCAGTCACTTGTAAGCTTTTGTACTGGAGGGACTTGGTGACCAATGATCACCCCAAGAAACTTTAAAGACATTCTGTTTTTCTCATTTTTGAACTGTACCTACTTTTTCCCACAATACTCTCGGCACAGTTTTTTGCATGTTTGTGAAGTGAAGAATACAGAGAGACCCTGTGCAGTGTGACTGCATGACAATCTATTATTCCATCCTAAAACCTATCAGAGATATAATTAATACCAACAGTTTATTTTGTGGTAGGGAAAAAAAAAACGCAGACTGCACTTTAGAAATAAAAGCCACTGTTGTCTTTATAAAACACAGGATTGTGCTGCTGTTGCTTGCTTGAGAAGGGAACTGTACATTACAGCTGCTGGGATAATTTCACAATGGACGGGACAGGGTACAGCTCAAAGCAGGACACAAAACACAAGTCTCAATGGGAAACAAATGCAAACAAGTACACAGCTGCGGGGCTCCAGGGACATTTCCCCATCCATGCTGGACTTGAGAAGAATAAAAAGTTTAGAAAATAAAGTGAAACCCAGAGTAGTCACACATGCCCACCACATGGCCGCTAAGTGCAACATCATACACCAGTCAGGTTGGACTGTGTGCACAGGAAGTCAATTCATTTTTCCTTATTGCTATGACACCAGAGGACTCAGTGCATTCAGACACATTTATCTTTACTTACACAATTCTTGGAGAGTTTTTGATTTCCCTTTTTAAGGAAGGAAATCGCCTTCCTTACATTATTATTTTGAGCCCATTCTTTCCGTTCCCTTTCCTGGGCTATCATACAGCAGCCAAAGGTTCTAAGTCAGTAGGAGCAGAGTAAGGGGAGAGCACCAACCCAGCCTCTCTCGTGGCTCAGGGAGAAGGCAAGTCCTAGTAAGTGGGGAGAAAGAGAAAACCAGAGAATCCCCCTTTCCTAGTCTGCTTAGAAGGCCAAGTATTAGCGTGCCTTGCATATCCCTGCCATGATCCCAGCCCAAGGAAGGCGTAATTAACCACCATCCTAGATGATCTAAAGTCCAGTAAATTAAGAAACAAAACAAAACCTTTCCTCCTGACATGAATTCCCAAAACTGCCTTTTGGCTAAGTAAGAGATGACTCTTCTACCCTGAAAGGGAAGAAATTCCATCCTCCTCTGTGATGCCTGATGCCAGGTCTAAAACACTGAGCAACCTTCTAGACTTTCCATGGGCCAGCTAAGAAAAGTGTGTCCCTGGCATCATTCACAGAATTCTGGTTAAAAAGAAAACTGTTCAAAAACACTGCTGCTCAGCCAGAGGAGCTATGTTGCAGTTGAGAACTAGATTTTTAGAGTAGTTTCATACTTATGTTTAACTTTAGTCAGAGTCTAAGGATAAGTTCCCAGTAACAGTAGCTCCAGGCTGATCCTGACAGGCTAGCAATAGCACCTCAACCAATAAATAGGTCACACTGGACTGAATTCAAAGCATCACTCCTTCACCTCCACAGAATGGAGAGGTGTTGAAATGGCCAGAAACCCTACTGATTTTGTCAGTGAGACAGGCCTGCTGCTCTGACCTAGTGTAAGCTTGAGGACAGTGCAACCCAGGGCTGACACCACTGGGCATGAGAAACAGGTTTTTGGTCTTCTGTAGTCAACGAGCTAAGCCTGACCTTTCCAACTAACAGTGGGATCATTGCAGCCATGCAGAGAATTCATTATCACACAGGCAGACAGGCAGGCAGGCCAGCCAGCAAGCAAGCTGAGGGAAGAGGGAGAAGGAAAAGGAAGCCAGGGAAGGCGAGAAGAGGAGAGGGAAAGCTGAACAGTGTGTGGGGGGTAGGGGTGGAGAAAGAAAGATCTGAGATGAGGTTGGAATCCTCCCAGAGCTCGTACAATGCACCACTTAAACCAAATCCAAACAAGCTGAGGCTTGGCAACACTGTTTTTAATGTGTGCATATTGCCTTTAAATGAGAAGAACCCACATGGTCAGTAGTTAAGTCTCAAAGAACTGTTTAAAATCACAGCAAGATGTACCACCCAAGTCATTTTTCTCCATCTTTTTTATGGAGACATGGTCTTGCTACATAGTGCACACTGGCCTGGAATTCACTGATCAGCCCAGGTGGACCTGAACTTTTGAATCTTCTGCTTCAGCCTTAGTGCTGAGATAACAGAATTACAGCTATGGGCCGTCATGCTCAGCATTCTCTTGCATTTCTTGGATGGCACATAAACACCAAAGGACTGAAACTACTTTTCATTCTAGCTTAAAACCCAACTGGAGAGAGTGAGGCAAAGAAAACAGGAGAGAACAAAACTGTGTTGCTGGGAGTGGTGACAGCCACCTGTTCCCTGTGGGCATCTGCAAATGCTGGTGAATGACTGAACCCTCCTGGAATAGTGCCCTTAATCCAAGCCCCCAAGTGTACCCAAGTTGACAGCAAACTGTCTGTGAAGGGCTCCCTTCCCAAAGGGTGACGGAACACGAAGTAAACTGTCTATGAAGGCGATGGACAGGGCAGATGGAGTGTTGGCATCACTCTGTTTAGGCACTTGTGTAAGGAATGTAAGCTCTCCAGTGAGCTGCCTCTTCCCAGAGCCCTCCGTTCTGTTCTTCGGCTGGGCCTGTGCCCATGGGGCACTCCATACTGTAGCCAAGCAGAAAAGAAGTACAGGAGGAACTACTTAACAGTCCTGGGCTTTTTCCATAAGGAATGTTTGTGCTACCTGTTGGGAAGTTACTGAACAATGTAGCCAGCCACAACTGAACCTGGACTATTTGCATAGCAAATCTGGGTCTGTACAAGGGGCTCCTGGGGAAAGGTTTGACTCCATAGGCCAGAGTTCAGACCTTCCTTTCTCCAGCTGGCCTCTAAGCCCAGGCTAGCTCTAAAATATCATGGCTTCATCACCAGAGTAGGGCAATCCTAACCTCAGGCTCCTCAGAAGGTGAACCTGTATACAGAGGTTCAAATTCCCCATCCCAAGCAATAATGCAGGAAGAATAAAGAACAGTCAAGGAAAGAGGGGGCCTTGCTTCAAGGTCAGGAAGAACAAAGCCAGAACCCACTTCTTTTCTAGTCCTGCAAGACAGTTGAACCCCAGTATCTCAAGAGAGGGGTAGAAGAAGAAAAGCCCATGCCACCCACTCACATGCCCTAGTGGGAAACAGGAAAATTTCATTTGTGTAAACAGAAGCAAAAGGGAGCAGCAAAATTCTCCAGCCTGTCCAGAGGACGTGCTAGAGTCTCAGTTAGTCTGGGAATCAAAGGACAGTCCAGTCCAGAAAAGGAAAAGATGCGCTCACAAGGAGTGCAGGACAGCGAGTGGAGGGAGGCTGTCTCAAGAACAAGGTTTGATCTGCACAGAGGGAGGACAGAGGCTAAGCCCCACCTTGGGGAGACAACCACCCCCTACTTAGCCAGGCTAGAACACAAGTCAGGTCCACAGTTCCTTCTGATGGCTCCATGTTTCTGGGATGCAGACTCATCAGGTATGGGAGGGATTTCCAGATTTTGGCAATAGACTCAAGTTATGGTATAAAAATAAAATTTAGTTTTCTGTTTTCTTATTTTAGTCCTTAAGATTTTCTGCTGTAAGACACCCCAGTTAAGAAATATTGAAACAAAAGAGACTTTACCATCAGGGGGAGAAGAAGCCAAGAATGAGAAATACTATGACAATAACTCTAGACCTGGCAGGGTGGGGGGTGGGTGGGGGCCAGGGAACAGAAGAGGCTAAAGGGGAAAGGCCAAGGGCCAGTCATCTCAGCAGCGCAGAGACTTGTCATGTCTGAAAGTGCAAATGTCAATGGATTTTAACCATCTTGAGGTTGTGATCTTTTTTTTAAAAGCTCAATGATTATGGAAGTCAATTCCTTCAAATGAAAATTAGCTGGCATTCTGGCTGGAGGCTTGCTGGCATTGGGATATTTCTTCCCTCCCTCCCTACCTCCTCTCCCACCCACACCCCGTCCCACAGAGAAAGGTACAAAAGGTTGCATTTCTGCAGCATTACCGTTACAGGAAGGCACTGGTTACCCACCAGCAGGCGGAAGGAAGACAGGATCGTGTCACCTCAGAGCTAAGTGCCATAGTGCCTTAAATGTTACTAGGGGCTGGATGTCTGTCAGGGAAGAGGCGTATGGGGTAGAGAATGTGGAGAGGAATAATGGGAGGGGGTGGCAGCTGGGGAGGAGCAACCCAAACCATTAGCATTAAAAATCTTCCTACAAAGTGGATTCTGAACCCATGAAAACATCTAGTATCCTAAAATATTGATCTGAGTCTGTTTTCATTTTTCTTCTTAAACAAATCTAGACCTTTTCTGATTAAGGCTCCTAAAAATTCCTGCCCTCTTCCCACCCACTTTCTCATCTAGAATATCAAACCCAAACATACCAGCATTTGACTACAGGGCTGCAGAGCTGACCCTAGCAAGCTGTCAAGCATGAGTCTTTCGCACTGTGAGTCACATGAGACAACTGTGTGTATGGTGGGCACTAGTGATGCCCCTTTTGGTCCAGGGGGATCGGATATGACAAGATGGGGAGAGGAGTGGAGGACATGAGGTTGCTATCAGAGATTTCTGGCTGGTAGGTAATCTGTCTTGCTGGTCCTGTTCCCACCCTTATACCCCCTCTATAGATAGAAACAAGGCCTCCTATACTCCTTCTGACCCCACCTCCCTCTGCCTTGCTTCCTCTGGATTTGGGTGGTACAGCTCCCAGAGCTTGGAAAGCTTTCTTCTATCCAGTGAGGTAACAGCGTTCTGCCTTCAAGCGAAGTACATGGTGCGTAGAGTATCCTGGTGAACCTGCACAGCTTTGGCCAGGGCCTGGGGATCTCGCCCATTGCTCTGCCCCGATATGTGGCTCCCCTCTCCACTGAAAAGAAAACATATAAAAAAAAAAGTCCTTCCTGGTAAACTGAACTGCTGCTAATCCCTCACCCATGCATACAGGGCCAATTCACATACCAAATTAAGAGAAAACAGCAACTCAGGTTTAGGTAGAGAAGCCCAAGGGCATCAAATTGGATAACATCCACTACCTTCTACCAACAAAAAGTTGAAAGGATTGGCACAAAAGGCTGAAGCAGAGAAAAAAAAAAAAGAGAGAGAGAGAAAAAAACAAAACAAAACAAAAAAACCAGCTAGCCTTTACCTGTCATGCTCCTTGTCCACCAGGTGGTATCGTGCCCGGAAAGCCACCAAGCGGGCATAGTAGGCAGGTGCTGGGATAGAGACAGAACGTGTGCATCGTACGTAAGTGTGGCACAGCTGGTATGTCAAGATCTGGAGTTCATCTGCTGTGAAACGGTTGTCATCCCAAAGGACATAATAATGGGACGGTCGGCTGGTACCCTAGGTAAAAAAGATGGTAAGTGGCCCGTTACTGGACAGAGTAGATGCCTGCTGACAAAAAATAAAAACAAACAACAATAACAACAATAACAACAACCAAAAAAAAAAAACAAACCCAAATCACTACTAATTAAGAATATGTTTAGGCTGCATGATCATACCCTACCACCCATAAGAGGCATAATACAGAAAATCAAATATTATAAAGCAACCTACAAGTATACTTGGGGCTAACTAACAGTCATTTTATATACTCAGCTACAGCAAAACATATTCTAAATGCAGTAGGAATAACCAATTAATCCTTGACCCAATAAGAACCCCAGGAGATGGCCCACCCACCTGGATGCCTGCATGGCTGCACAGATAGAAGTCGAACTCAAATGGGTGAGTGATGTTGGTGTCCACAGTGGTCCCTGCTGGGATGTTACCACTCTTCCCAATCTGTAGAGACAAACACAACCAAGATCCCAAGACCTGCCTGGCCCTGACTATCATCTTTACTGGATTCTACTCTTAATTCTCCCAGAATTCCAGGAACGAGGGAAATACTGGGCTTCTAAAATCAAGTGTTTGAATCCTGGTTTCGCCATTTACTAGTTGTGTGATCCTAGCACGACATTTAACCTTCCTGAGGTTAAACGGAGAGATCAGTAGTACCTACCTCACAGAGCTTCTGTGAGGAAGACTCCTTGAACAGTGTGTGGCACATAGGAGAAGTTCAATAAATGGTTGTTCCCTTTCCCTTCTCTGGGAGCTGGTCTATATATGGGGCCTAGGCCAGGGAGCTAGGAGGAGGAGAGGAAGTATGAGGGAAGGAGGAGAGGAAGAGGCAGTGAGGGAGAAGTGGTGGAGGATGGGCCACAAAGCCAGGGAAAACAGCCAGGGAGGACACACAGGAAAAAATCTAAATTCCCAGACTGTATCTCAAGGCTTGTCTCTCAAGGTACAGGAGACAGGAAGAGGGCACTGGTGGCCTCAGCTTCCTCACTCACCCGCTCATTCTTGTCAGCACAAAAGAGGCGGGTGTGATGGCGCTTCTGCACCACAATATACGTGATCCCAGGCTGGTAGTCTTTTTCCAGTTTGATGCATGCATCTCGAATGGCAAGCAGCTCATAGTGAAGGATCTAGACACAGGGTGAAGAAGGAGAAAAAGGCACATGGTGGCCCTTTCTTATTCAAAGGCCTTACTGAACTAAAAACATTCCAACGTGTATGTGGCTTTTTGCATGTAACCTTCAGAAGCTGATGCTCGACAATTAGCAATGATAGGTCCTGAGACTCAGTCTATTTGATTATTGTCCTAGAAAACCTTTGCTAGAAATCTTGGCTTCAGGAGACAGTACCTCTCTGCTCTCCATGCAAAAAGAGACCTGACATTAAGACACAGAACTAGAAAGGTGTGGTGGGGCACATCTTTAATCCCAGTGCTCAGGGGAAAGGACAGGGAATCTTTGATAAGTCAAGGCCAGCCTGGTCTATATAGTGAGTTCCAGGCCAGGCAGAGCTAAGTAATGAGTCCCCATCTCAAAAGAAAGAAAAGAGCCACTAAATAGTCTCAACACTATTTTTTTTCTGTCAAATTAAGTGCCCTAGGGGCTGAGACTTTAAAAACATAAGTGTTCCAGATATCATAGGGAATGGAGAACCCAGGAACATGAGAACTGTGTGTGGAAACACAAACCCATAGGTACTTGCTACCCTGCTTCTCAGTTGTGCTCTCTGGCCTTTCCTAGCACCAATGACTTTGAACAAGTAGTCCTCTAGCCTCAACAAGATAATGTAGCAGCCACTGGGAGCCATACCTGGGGCAGCTGGCCCTCAGGGACCCCATCTCGGTAGAAGATGATCCGGGTGGGCTTGAAGCGGGTGGACTTGTAGAACTGGATGAGCAGCTCACGCACCATATAGGACAGGTCTTCGATGATCTCCTGCCGTGGGCGCTGCACACGCACGGTGGCACAGTATCGGCTGGGGTGTGCATCCATACTGCCTACCACCTAACAACAAGGAGAAAGCATCAGCCTCTAGAATGTCACCTTCCTTTGCTCTGAAGTAACAGGCATGAGGGAGGAATTCTGAGTAAGAATGCTTTACAACTACCTGGATGAGCTCACTCACTATGTTCCTAGAAAACCCTCACATCAGAAGACAGTACCTATCTGTCTGCCATGCAAGAGATGAATAGGAGTTGGATCCAATAAACATCGGCTTCAGTCTGTTCTGCCACGCAAACAGAATTTATTTAATATGTGATCAGAATGTTTGCTCTCCTTGTCCTTGCAGGACAGCACTCACATGCAGTCTATGGGCAATGTCAGGATGTGAGCATTAAGAACAACCTTGAGCCGGCAGTGGTGGGGCACACCTTTAATCTCAGCACTTGGGAGGCAGAGGCAGGTGGATTTCTGAGTTCAAGGCCAGCCTGGTCTACAGAGTGAGTTCCAGGACAGCCAGGGCTACACAGAGAAACCCCGTCTTGAAACACACCCCCTAAACAAAACAACATAACAACAACAACAAAAAAAAAAACTGGAGTTAAAACAAAAAGCGAATGACTGTACAAAAAGAGCAACTGATAGTTTCTGGCCACAGGCTACACTCCCATGCAGTTAGGTTTGCAGGGGGTGCATGGAAAGGGCAGGGCTTAGGGACTGAATGAACATGCACTCTTAAAGGACTCCAAGTTAAGAGGAATTACTCACTGCTGTGATAGACGGTTTCTTCCCATCCCCAGCTGGGGGGTGTGTAACGTCGGCTCCCAGGAAAATCACTGGCTGTTGAAACACAGCAGAGCTGAGCAAGGAGAGGAAACAAAATGGTGAGGAATTGAGTGGTCTCTGGCTGGCACCTCCAGTGCCATTCTCGTCTTCTGTGTCTTCTGTCTCTGTTACTCTGCCTGGAAAGGGTTCTTGTCTTTTCACCACTCCCCAGGAGTTTCCGTGACAGAGTAAGTAAGAGCTCATACCGCTGGTGTGGGACTAGGATGTTGTTAATGCCACCGAGTTTGACGTTGATCTTGAGGCAGAGGTTGGACAGAGTCTGAGGCGAGGTCTTGACCACGTTCTTCACCTGCACACACTGCGTTGCCATTCCCAAGAGTGTATCTCCAACACGTTTCACTTCAGCTATGGGAAGAGAGAACACTGATTAGTGCATTTGGCATTTAGCTAAAAGTGTACTATATGTCACACAGTATAAAAAATAAGTGGTAAAACAGAGTTGTAAGAATGTATAATATGGGGTAATAACCTAGTTAGGGGTGTATAATGAATGAACTAAAATCTAGGAAGGAGGAGTTTGAGAGAAAGAGGGGGGGACGAGAGAGAGAGAGAGAGAGAGAAGAGAGATATTGCACAAGAGCACATTCCAAGCAGAAGAGAAACATGCAAAACTACAGCCTGAGCTAGGAGCTAGACAGGATGGTTCACACCTGTAATGGCAGCAACTGGGAGATGAAGCAGGAAGAACATGACTTTAATGGCAGCCTGAGTTAAACCATAAGAGTCTTAAAACAAAAAGAGCAAGCAGCATTCCACCCGGAAATAGTAAGGCACTTTTGAGAAATTAATTTAGACAGGCGGTTGAGGGGCTGGAATGGAGGAAGGAGTCCAGCGCACGTTTAATACGCACGAGCCCGGGCTCAGTCCCTCGCACACAAACATGGAAACAAATGGGTTCAAAAGACCACTAAGAAGCCTGGTATAGACTCTGTACATAAGAGAAACGAGCTTTTACGGTTGGATGATTTTATCACTAAGTTTTCAGTCTTAGACAGAGTAGTGGGTCGTATTATGGTATGTGCACGCATACTCCTTGATTAAGGATCACTTTCAAGGCTTTAGCTTTCTTAACAGAAATAGATCATCATATACTCTTGAGTCTGAGTGTCGTAAGGGTGTAACTAGGCAAACAGACATGGTAGTTGGAAGCTTTTTTTTTTGTCAAGTGCAAAATTTGTGCAATATTGAAGTACAAGTAGTAAATGAAGGCATGCTCTTGATGAGGTCACTAAGAAAGAGAGACAGTTTTAAAAACTCCTAAGATGGGGAGCTGAAAAGCCTGCAGCAAGGCTGGATCTGGATCTAGAAGAAAACCCAACATCTGCAGAACAAGCTAAAGAAGTCTGCAAAGGGAGGAAGCTCAGCAGAACTAGGAAGAAGCCAAGACAGTGTAGTATTGTAAATGCTAAAGGAAAAGAAAACAAGTAACTGACAAAGTCAGATACAGCTGAGAGATCAGGTACAATGAAAACAGTAAATATTCATTGTATTTGGTGATAGTGAGAACCAAAAGTCAGTGTGTAGAAACAAAAACTGTTTTAGTGATACCCAATACAAAGAAGATGTAAGATTGAGGAAGAGTTTGGTATGTTTGCAATGGGAACTTATTTAAAAGGCTAAAGAAATCATTTTAGCTTATAAAAGACTGAGAAGTTAGTTGCAAATCTGTTCTTTGGAAATCAACATTTAGAAAAGTCACACAAAATATCTTTTGAAGACAGCAGAGACATGCTAACCAAAACTCAGGGGATTGGAACATCAGAGAGAGGAAATCCCACAGCCATGAGCTATCTGCTGTAGATAATGGTCCCCATGTCCACTGGCTGATTCCAGGAGTGTGTAGAGGGCTGAGATTCCAGCATCTGCAACAGCAGTGGGCAACTGCCAGGGGACAGCAAAGCAAAAGAATGCATGCTCTCTTTACAGATAGACTGCCAAATGTGAAACGTGTGAGAGAGGGAGGGAAAGGGGAGGGG